CAGGAGCCGGGCGGTGGTGGCGCACACCTTTAATCCCAGCACTCGGGAGGCAGAGGCAGGCGGATCTCTGTGAGTTCGAGGCCGTGCTGGACCGATAGCCTCCGAAACTTATACAGAGAAACCCTGTCTTGTAAAAACAAAAAACAAAAAACAAAAAAAAAACAAAAGTGGTGCAGGGCTGGAGAGATGGTTCAGCAGTTAGTGCTTACCGCCTTTCAAAGGACCTAGGTTCTGTCCCAGTGCCCTGGTCAAACAGCCTCCAGCTCCAGGAGATCTGATGGCTTCTGGCTTCTGTGGGCCCATATGTGCGTACACACACAGATACACATGCACATACACAGAAATGCGTAATATATGCAGTGTTTTAAAGAGCCACAAGGTGAGGATCCGACTTCATGAAAATATCTCATTTGACCAGAAAATGAAAAGATCTCCCATGCTCTTGGATTGGTAGAATCAACATAGTAAAAATGGCATCTTGCCAAAAGCAATCTATAGATTCAATGCAATCCCCATCAATATCCCAGCACAATTCTTCACAGACCTTGAAAGAATAATACTCAACTTTATATGGAAAAACAAAAGATCCAGGATAGCAAAAACAACCCTGTACAATAAAGGAACTTCTGGAGGCATCACCATTCCTGACTTCAAGCTCTATTATAGAGCTATAGTCCAGAAGAAAAATAGACAGGTAGACCAATGGTATCAAATTGAAAACCCTGATATTAACCAACACACCTACCAACACCCGATTTTTGACAAAGAAACTAAAATTATACAATGAAAAAAGAAAGCATCTTCAACAAATGGTGCTGGCGTAACTGGAGGCTGACATGTAGAAGACTGCAGATAGATCCATGTCTATCGCCATGTACAAAACTTAAGTCCAAATGGATCAAAGACTTCAACATCAATCCAGCCACACTGAACCTCTTAGAAGAGAAAGTGGGAGGTACCATTGAAGGAATTGGTACAGGAGACTGCGTCCTGAACATAACACCAGTAGCACAGACACTGAGATCAACAATTAATAAATGGGACCTCCTGAAACTGAGAAGCTTCTGTAAGGCAAAGGACACAGTTGGCAAGACAAAACAGCAGCCCACAGAATGGGAAAAAATATTCACTAACCCCACATCTGACAGAGGGCTGATCTCCAAAATATACAAAGAACTCAAGAAGCTAGTCACTAGAACACCAAGTAACCCAGTTAAAAAATGGGGTACAGAACCCAATAGAGGAATCCAAAATGACTGAAAGACACTTAAGAAAGTGCTCAACATTCTTAGCCATTAAAACTGCCAATCAAAACAACGCTGAGTGACCATCTTGCACCTGTCAGAATGGCTAAAATCAAAAATACCAGTGACAGTTTATGCTGGAGAGGATGTAGAGGAAGAGGAACACTCCTCCACTGCTGGTAGGAGTGCAAACTTGTATGACCACTTTGGAATCAGAATGGCGGTTCCTCGGGAAATTGGGAATCAGTCTACCTCAAGATCCAGCAATTCCACTCAGGCATATACCCAAAAGATACACATTTGTACAACAAGGACGTCTGTTCTACTATGTTCATAGCAGCATTACTTGTAAATAGCCAGAACCTGGAAGCAACCTAGATGCCCCTCAACTGAAGAATGGATAAAGAAGAATGTACATTTACACAATGGAGTGTTACTCAGTGGGGAAAAAACAGTGAAATCTTGAAATTCGCAAGCAAATGAATGGAACTAGAAGAAACCATCCTGAGTGAGGTAACCCAGTCACAAAAAGACAAGCATGGTATATACTCACTCATATATGGATTTTAGACATAGAGCAAAGGATTACCAGCCTACAATCCACATCTCCAGAGAAGCTGGGAAACAAGGAGGGCCCTAAGAGAGACAGACATCCTGAGCAAATTGGGAGCATGAGGGGCCAGGGAGTTAGGAGAAAGAGAAGGGGAGAAGAGGAGAGGGGAGGAAGACATGAGGGACCAGGAAGATTGAGTTGGGGGAAGGATGGAGGACAGCAAGAAAAGAGATACCATAATAGAGGGAGCCAGTATAGGGTTAAAGAGAAAACTGGCACTAGGGAAATATCCAGAGATCTACAAGGATGACCCTAACTAAGAATCTAAGCAATAATGGAGAGGCTACCTTAAATGCCCTTCCCCTATAATGAGATGGATGACTACCTTATATGCCATCATAGAGCCTTCATCCAGTAGCTGATGGAAGCAGAAGCAGACACCCACAGCTAAACACTGAGCTGAACTCCTGGAATCCAGTTGTAGAGTGGGAAGAGTGATGAGCAAAGGGGTCAAGACCAGGCTGGAGAAACCCACAGAAACAGCTGACTTGAACAAGGTGTTGCTCATGGACCCCAGACAGATAGCTGGGAAACCAGCATAGGATAGAACCAGGCCCCCTGAATGTGGGTGTCAGTTAGGAGGCCTGGGCAGTCTATGGGGTCTCTGGTAGTAGAACAGCATTTATACCTAGTGTATGATGGACATTGGGAGTCTATCCCTCTCAGCCTAGACACATGAGGGAGGGCTTAGGCCCTGCCCCAAATGATGTGATGGACTTTGATGATTCCCCCATGGAATGCCTCATACTTTATATAGAACAGAAGAGGGAGCATGGGAGAATGGGAGGGAGAGAGAACTGGGATTAATATATAAAATAAGATTGTTTCTAATTTAAATAAAAAGAAGAGAATGGCTCATCTGAACTTGACCACACTCTGCTGCTTTGGGTGCTTTCGGGTTTTCTTACTTGATCCTTGTTTGGTTTGTCAAGAGCTTAGGTTCTGGAGTCACACAGCTCTGAACTTGACTCCATAGCATGCACAAGAGTCTAGATTCAGGGTGTGAGAACAATCTGGCTTTACGTGTCATCCCATTAATAGCCAGAGTGATTTAGTGGATCTGGCCGGCGAGGCCGGTCTCTCCCTGCTTCTTCACTGCCCACGTGTGTTCATCATGTTGAAGAGGGTCTTTCCTCTAACAGAGGAGGACTGCTCTTGATCAGGGATATCCCAGTAGCTATCCGGATGCCCTTAGATCTCCAGGCCTGCTCTACAATTCTAGGTCCAATCCCTAGTACTGTTCTCTTTTTTGAGGGGGTAGGGGATGGACGAGGTTTTGAATGTTATGTTCTGCCCTGTTCAGCACTTTCATAATAAAGGTGTGTGGGAATATTTGTGTTTGCATATATGTCACGTGACAGGAGTCATACACAAAAACTAACAGCACTGCTTACCCGTGTCTGTGGGACTGTTCAACAACCACTTTGCTTGTTACGTGAAAGGTTAGGTTTCTACTGGAAAAAGAAAGCAGGGCAGGTCTGATTAACCCTTGAAGGATCCAGTGTTCAAGAGTGAGCTGATTGCATTTAAAGTCCATGCTTTTCCCTGAAGTCACCCCAGAATGGCCTGGAGCCCCATGTGCCAGTTGGGGAGGAGTAGGGATTTCCTATTGTACCTGGGTGGCATTTCTTGGTATTGAAGCTGAAAGGATGAGCCTGCATGGTGCCTCCCAGCACCCGTCCCCCTGGCAGCCTTCTCCTTTTCCACACTTGGTCTCTGGGAAAAAGAAGGCTGTTCCTGTCCAGGTTCGATTCTTTTTTTTTTTTTTTTTGAGACAGGGTTTCTCTGTGGCTTTGGAGGCTGTCCTGGAACTCGTAGTCCAGGCTGGCCTCGAATTTACAGAGATCTGCCTGCCTCTGCCTCCCGAGTGCTGGGATTAAAGGCGTGCACCACCAACGCCCGGCTGTCCAGGTTTGATTCTTGAGGTTGCTCCCCGTGCTCTGCAGGTAGTTCATTGTCCCCTAGTGTGTCCTTTCAGGGTAGACTTGCCTGGGTCGTCTCTCCAGTGCCCAGGCCTGCTGATGCCAGCCTGGTGTCCCTCTGTTGTCCTGATTTTCTGTGGGTCCCGCTGGTTCTTCCTTTCCTCCGCCAGCAGCGCCTCACCATGACTGTCTGGGCGCTCTCCTTCTTTCTCGAGTTAACTCACCCATTACCACCCAGCCTCCCATGGCTTCCTGAGGCTCCCAAGGCAGCCTTGAGAAGGCAGCCGATCTTCCTGGTCATTGGTCATCACTGGATCAGAAGCCGCACTTGGTCCACAGTCTCCTCCCACCATGAGTAGTTAGAAGCATCCTCTCGAGCCCAGTGGAAGCCCAGGCATGCCTGAACTTGCTCTCCTCTAGGGCAGAAGGGACAAGACTCAAGTTGCTAACCCACAAGCTACTGTGAGGCTGTGCGTGACAAGGGCCAGCTGGACACCCCAATGAGGTTGGGGTAGAGGCGACATACATACTCAGACCCAAGTCCTGTGTCTGAAATGCATCTGTGCTGCACACGGAGGCAAGACCTTGTGCCCAAGCCCGTTTCACTTCACCTGAGTGGGTTTGGTAACCACAAAGGGCTTTGTGTAGCTACCTTCCCTGTACTCGGCCCATGTGTAAATGTTCAGAACAGCATATGGGAAACTAACCAGGAAAAGAATGGGCCTAGGAAATAATGACCTGTTGTGAGGTTTGCAGAACTGAAAAGCATTCCATGAGCAGGCAGTTAGGATCAGATGTCTTTGACCAATGACAGCTCTCCACCTGTGAGAGGCCCCGCTAGCCCTTCCCCTAGGTAAGCCTCTTCCTTCAGCTTCCAGGTGAAGATGGCCCTGGAGCCCGTGTCCTCTAGCCAGATCAGCTAGCTTATAGTAATGTGTGCAATACTTCTTTTTCTTCTGTTGCCAGCTTCTTGACCTTTGCAATGGACTGGCCAAGCCTTTTGCTTGGTCACACCTGTCCTGACTCTAAGGAGACCATACCATAATGACAGAGGACAAAGTCATGTACTAAGGCATCCCCTTTGAAAGGAAAAGCCAGACCTTGATACTCCCCCAAGGAAGTGGTCCCTTTGACCAGAAAAATTTGTCTTTACTTAAAATCAACGTTTTTCTGAACATATGAAGAAAATACAATTTTCTCTCTCCTCCCCTTGTTTTGTAGGTTCCTGAAGGCTTCAAGGAAAACCCAGTTTAGGGAAGGCCCAATGGCTCTGGGTGAAGAAGGTGCTGAGGCAGACGCATCTGTCAGCACAATGGTCCGGTCCTGTGGCAGGTGGAACTCTGTGGAGCAGGAGCTGCTGCCCCCAGGGCCTGAGCCACAGCAGCCCCTGCATCTGGGAGTTGGGAGAGGGCCACAGTGCGGGGCTGAGGCTGACCCTGGCTGCACCTCCGCGGTTTTTGTGTCACAGGCCCACTCTGCCAGCGGGGAACCGGTAGCAGATGGGTCTAAGCCCACCCTCAGTGGCCCACTTCCTCCTGTCAGCATGGGGAACCATGTAAGTACTGAAGAGTTAAGGCTGGAGCTAAGCCAGGGCACCCTTTGGGTGTGTGCTGCATCTCCCTGTTACCCTGCCCATCGCTCTAAGTGGGAGTTGAGGGATCCTGGGTACAAGCTGTTTCACAGGTTCCCTTGGAGGGCTGGGCTGTGCAGTCAGCAGGTTCCATGCAGTATCTCCTGCTCTCAGAGTCACTGGGGACCTCTTAGGGACAGTGAGAGGTTCATCAGGAGCCCACTGTCCAGAGGACTAGGATCAGGGGCCACCACCCGGCTTCTGATTTGTGACCTGTGAGTTCCCAGACCAAATGCTCTTGAGACGGTCCGAGCCTTGAAGCTGCTTTCATGAGCAGCAGTGTCTTAGCCTCCATGACTGGAGACCACGAGGCAGTTGTCGCTCCATTGAGAGCCACACGGGGCAGGAAACCCTCCCATGTTCGAAGGCCAAAGGCAAGTCTCTGATTGTTTTAAGCCCCATTGTGACCGGTGATTTGCTCCTCCTGTCTCTGGCAGCATCATGTTCAGGCTACCATGGGGCAGCGGGGCAGCTCTGACTTGTGCATTGTGGCTTTGGCTGCTGCTTGCTCTCCTTGGAGCTCGTCCTGTGAGAAGGCTCAGCATGACTGGGAGGGAAATAGTACCTGGGCCCACTTGTTGAAAGCAAGGGTCAAGGAGGACTTTGGCACTGTAAATCCTGTTTGTTGGGTCAAGAAGCAAATCCAAGAGCCCAGAAGGGGCTGTCTCTTCAGAGAAAGGCTGTGGTTTCTGTTCTTATGCCGCCTCTGGAGGGGCTCTTAGTGTTTTCTTAATGCATCCTTTGGGGGGGCAGTGCTGGTGCTGTGTCCCCTCCACAGGGAGGGAGGGGAGACGCTCAGTTGTACTTCTGGAAGGTGGGACAAACAGTTTGTTAACATCGGGTCAGTCTGCTTCCAAAGTTCTTATGTTATTGTCTTCCTCTGGGGTGAAGAAGCGGAGGGAGTGAGTCATTTTGCCTGTGAACTGAACAGGGCGCCCCCTGGTGGAGCCTGCTGCATCCCCCTGTCAGTGGTGATGGAGGCTTGTCTGGCTCACTGGGGAGCCACGGTCAGAGGAGAGGCATTGGTTTGACAGAGTGAATGACTAACTTGAAAAGGTGTGTTTGGGATCAATTGCAGGAGATTTCCCAGGGTAGGGTGAGTTTTGGTATTCACCGCTAGCAGAAGGAACCTCCTTGCCTGAATACTGTTCTGGGAACACAAGCAATCTATGGGCCCAACTCTCTTCCTTTCTTTCCTTGTTTGTTTGTTTGCTTATTTTGTTTTGTTAGATAAGTATACTAAGTAGTAGTTTTAACATAGGATCCTTAGACCTACTTTGTTTTCATTGATAACCCTCCTACTCTCCTCCCTCAACCTTAAAGAAGAAAGCTGTTCTTTAAAAAAGAAAGAAAAAAAGTTTGTTTCTTTTCACCTCAGTGCCTTTTCCCCCTTGCTATTATAGATGGAGGAAAGCAAGCTTCCTGCCTCCCAGGACCTATTTCAGAGGGTTAAAGTCCTCGGAACGGTAACTGTTTGCTCAGGACATGATGCTGCCAGTGAAGACAACCAGTCCCCAGTTGATTCTCCTCAGGTGCTAGGCCTCAGCCAGCAGCCTCCCATCTCAGGGCTCCCTCTCCTGTCTCAGTGGAAGTTCACGGTGAGCCCAGGGGCTCCTCAGCTCTCTAGCAGAAGCTTCTCTGCCTCCTTCATGGACAGCAGTCTCCAGGACCACCAAGAGAAGGCAGAGCCTCAGAGTAGCTCCTTTGCCAAGGTCTCCTCTCAGGAGAAGATTGTACCCCAGGGAGCCCCCTCAGTGGTGGGGACAGGGCCTCAGCCCCTGTGGTCACCACAGCCTGTGGCCCCTGGTGGTGATGCTACTAGCCTGGGTAAGAGACAACTCTCCTTTCAGGCAGAGTACTGGGCCTGTGTGCTGCCAAATTCTCTGCCTCCCTCTCCTGACCGCCACTCCCCACTCTGGAACCCAAATAAAGAATATGAAGATCTGCTTGACTACACTTACCCACTGAGGCCTGGGCCTCCGCTCCCAAAGCAATTTGAGAGTCATGTGCTGACTGACCCTGTCATGCAGGACTCAGGTGTAGATCTGGACAGTTTCTCTGTCTCCCCAGCAAGTACTCTGAAGTCACCCACTAACGTCTCCCACAATTGCTTATCAGCAGAAGTACCTACCCTGCCATCTTCTGGAGCCAGGGAGCCATACCTTAAGCATTGGCCCTTGGGAGTATCCCAGAAACAGGATGGCATAAGCCTGCCATCTTGGAGCCAGCTTGCATCAACCCCTAGAGCCCCAGGCACTGAGGATGCTTCTTGTGAGAACAGAGAGGCAGCCCTGAGGGACACAAAGGACTATCTGCCTATGGGCAAAAACCTCAGTGCGGGCTCCCCACAGCTGAGGATGAAGGAGAGGGCACCGCCCTTTCCCAGACTGGAGAGGGAGAAGAGAGCTTGCCGGAATGTTGGGCATCCTGCCTGTGTGAAGCCTGGGTGGACATCGGAAGAGGAGCTGGAAAGCGATGATGAGTACCTTGCCCTGCCCACGAGGCTGACTCCGGTTTCTAGTCTGATGTCCTACTTAGGTGTCTTACCCACCTTTGTGAACCTACCCGCTGGGGCTGCTGAGGAACACAGTTCACTGATCGTCTCAGACAGTGATGGGCCAGCTTCCCCCACGCTGGACTCCAGCCAAAGGCAGCATCCTTCTGGTGCTGCCTCCCAAGGGCCTGTGGTCCAGAACCCCTGCTTCATCGACTCTATCCATCCCAAGAACTCCACAGACAAGAGTAGTAAGGTGAGCAGTCAGGCCCTCAGGGTCTCTTCTGAACTGCTGAAAACTCACCCCTCCTTGCAAGCCGCATCAGACAGGTGGCCATTCTCAGAGCCAGTTGCTGGAGAGAAGCGACCCAGGAACAGAGGGCAGGAGAAAGCGTCGCTGATGCAATGTGTGCAGGTAAAGATGTTCAACAAGGAGAAGCTTCTGGAATAAGTGTTCCTTCCCCAGCCCACCAACAGCATGTCTCAGTACCCCAAACACATGCCCCCAAAATACAGAAAATACAGGTGGTGTTCTCCTTTAATGGCTGTAAGAAAATGGCAGAGAAGTTAGGTAACATATAATACCAATGTTATGTGTGCCTTGGTGATACGAAGTTGGTACACTGTTTCACTGTGGCTCAGGTGGTTCTAATTCACTCATTCGTCACGTAACAGCTTTTTAGAATAGGAAGTTCAGATCCAAGAACTGGCTGGCTAGCAAGCTCGCCCTTGTGGGCAGCTCATTGTCCCTGCCCCTCCATAGCGCCCTTCTCACTGTCAGGACTGTGTATTCTGAGTCTGCTGTTTCAGATGTCACATCTGACTGAGGGAAGACACAACCAGTATGGCAGTCATTGTCCTGGTGGGGAAGTCTGAAGTCATGACCCTGTGAGGAAACTCTAGAAAGATATCTGTGTGCCAAAATGCTGCTATTTTTAGCCTTTGGACGAGGTAAACAGCAGCACTCTCAGGTGCCCTGTGGACTTTGTTTTGTGGTGCTGGGTCCTGAGCACGGCAGCAGACTTCCTCACTGAGCTCTGTCCGGCCCCCATGTGTTCTTGTCTCCACAGACATTTTGCTGCCAGCTGGAGGAGCTGATCTGCTGGCTGTACTCTGTCACAGACGTTGCTGATCTCGGTGCTCCCCCCGGGTCCTCTCTCACAGGTCTCAAGTCTTCTCTGCAGCTTTACCGGGTAATGTGTGGTCCTGGCTCCTGGCTTGCTCACCCATGAGATTGTGGTTAAATCACTTACAAAATAAAATCTCAAGTAACTGGAATCTTGTAGCTCAGTTGACTATTTTATCTGAATAAATCTAATCAAGATGCCTTTTTCAAAGTCTAAATTTTGAACTCCCAGGCCAGATAGAGGAAAATTTATTTGTCTTGAACCAGAAATACTTTTGAGGGATTTGCATGGTACTTTGGCAGATGTCTCAGAGTTAGAACTATAGGCCTGGAATTTACAGACCGTAGTCATGTATGACAGTTAAGTCCGATATGCAGCACAGCTATGTAGTGCCTGCCACAGGGGGCAGTGCAGACACGTGAATGTCACTAGAGTTGTTCTGGACTGTATTGGTGTTTATGGAACTCAGCTGAAGCCGTGTGATAAGCCAGATTTAAGTCAGATTTAACCCCAAATCTGACACCGGTTTGTGTCTATGGGGACTTAGGATTTTATTTTATGTCTGCTTGTTTTTAAGGGCTGTTATTTCACACCTATGAATTTTAGTTAACGATACCAGATAAAAGCACATTGAAATGGAGAGTAATTCCTGTAACTGCTACCTCAGGTAAACTTGGCTGACGTTGATCACATGGTGGCAGTGTTTGTGGCGCAGGCCTGCTACTAGCCTGGCAGGGAAGGGGGAACCTAGATCTGACCATGTAACCTAACACCGAGTCAGCAGAAGAGAGTGAGATTGACCACCAAGCTCTGACTCAGCTCACCTGGACGGGAGGCCTTTGTTTTCTGTCTTGCAATCTACTAAAATCTAGCCTGGGCTAGCCAGCTGTCCCTCCATGGCAGGAAGGCTGTACCTGAAGGTTCTTCTGTTCAATCAGAAAGTGCCCAGGGAAGTCCCAGGGAGAGGAATTGCTCTATTTGACTTATGTCAGTAGCCTCTCCTGGCCCAGCTGAACAAGTGTAAATAGGTTTACTCCATTCTCCACTTGAGCCCTCAGAGCCCCCTCTTGAGTCCACTTCCAGGTAGCCAGCTATAACCACCTTGCATTATAGACAGCTAGGAATTGAGTCAGGAGTTATCCCTGCACATTAGTCACGCTTAGGCCGCTAGTGTGTGCACAGCTGTCAGTGAAATGACACTGCTGACCCCTTCCTCAGAATGGAACATAACTTACGAGTGAGCTCTCTTGGCTCTTGCTTAGACGGAGACTTAAGTGCTCGGATCTATGTATGCTCACAGTTTAACCATCACTCATCCCTGCCTGTACTTGCATTTCATCTTGACAAAGTGGGGTTGAGGCAACATCTAAACTCCCTAGAGCACAGGAGGAGAAAAAAGTTAGGGGGCAAAGGAATACTGAGGGCAGAAGAACAAATCCAAGAGTAAAGTTAGTTCTCTCAGAGTACCAAGCAGTGAGGTCTGCCCCATGGCATGCATGGGTTCAATTTTATAGGCTCTTACTGGCTAAAGAAAGATTTTTAAAAATTAGCTGCAGCTGACTATGGTGGTACATGCCTTTAATCTGAGCACTCAGGAGACAGAAGCATTCATAACTCAAGGAGTTTGTGGCCAGCCCAGTTTACATAGTGAGTTTAGGGCAGCTAGGACTGCTCTTAACAGCAACGATGCTTTGTAGCTATGAGGAATACCCTGCTTGGAGTGCCTTTCTGGGAAAATAGCAGCTTCCCTGATGCCAAGGTGTTGCTATAGAGGCCACAGGTGGGGGCCACAGGTTTGCATGGTCAGCGTAGTGACAAACTGCTGCTTGTAGTTCTTACCTACAGTGTTTACTCTAAGTTATAAAGTTATAGTTAGTTATGGTGTTTATACCTGAGTTAGAGACCACCATAAAGTAGTGCACAAAATGTCCAGCCTGTCCAAGAGCCGCCTCTTTGGGGGAAAACTCTTCTGTTCAGCTGGACTTGATGGCACAGGGTTATAATCCTAGCACTGGGGAGGGTAAGAAGGACGACTCTGTAGACCAGCCTGGGCTAAATCAAGACTGTCTTAACAAGCAAACAAAACCAGTGAATGTATTTCCATGGACTCAAAGAAGCTGCCATTAGATAAGTCTACTGAGGGACTCTTAACCGCATGGTGGCTGTCTTCCATTTAGGGAAGTCATGTTCATTCTAGACAACTTTCACAAGCAATAGTATTGAAACTTTTCTCTCCTGATGTCTTAAGCAATTTAAGAAAGACATAGACAAACACCAGTCCCTGACAGAAAGCGTCTTGGAGAAGGGGGAGACTCTTCTTCAGTGCCTGATGGAGAACACCCCAGGTGGGTAACCAAGAGCTGTGTTGTTGTTTATTGACACATCGTGTACTTCTCTGTGGGTCCCGTGTGACACAGATGTCCCTGCCTTTTCACAGAGTGTGTTAAGAGCTGCCCTTAGGAATTCAAGTCTGAGTTAGTCACCTTAGAACTAAAGAGGAAGAGCAGCGATTTTCAGGTTGCTCCCATTTCCCATGCCACTTCCATGCCATCCGCAGGCGTGACTGGAGCACAGTGAAGAGGCAGGTGTAGCTTGGATTCCCAGGCCCTGCTGCCATATCTAGTCTTGTGAAGACCTCCATACTGCTTCCCACCAGCAGTGTATGAGAGCTCCCTTTTCTGTCATCCTGGCTGTCATTTTGTCTATTTCATACGGGCCATTTAACTGAAGATTACATGTCAATGTAGTTTACTTCATGATTAATAATACTGAACCTTTTTCATAGGTTTGTTGGTCTTAATATCCTCTTCTGAGGTATCTAAGTCATTCATCCATTCTTTTTTATCAGATGGCTGTTAATAGTAACACTAATAGTTGTTGTGTTTGCTTGTTATTGCTTCGTTTTTGAGTTTCCCTGTATAGCTCTGACTCGTCAGCTTGTACCTGCACAGATTCTCTTGCCTCTGCCTTGAGTTCTGGAATTACAGGCTTGAGCCTGCAATTTGATTTTGTGAGACATGGTCTCCTAACTCCTGGTCACACTGCTGTGTTTATTTGAATTCCTATATATTATGTGGGTTTCAGAGATCCAAGTCAGGTCACCAGACTTTACCTTAAAGGACTTCTGTGCTGCGCTGTCTCGATGGCCCTATAGTGCTTCTTGCATGTTTGATTTTTGAGACATGGTCTCACTATGTAGCCCTGACTCTTCTGGAATTCACTAGGTAGAGCAGGCTAGCCTTGAACTCAGAGATCTGCCTAGCTCTGTCTCCAGAGTGCTGGGAATAAAGGTGTACGCCACCACCAACCGGTGTGAGGCCCTTTTAAAAAAAGATTGATTTTATTTTTTAATTACATGTGTATCTGTATGAAAGTAATGAATATGAGAACAGGTGCTCTTAGAGGCCAGGACATTAGATGGCCTCAACTACATCTGGATGTGAGCAGTCTAACACAAGCACTCAGGTCCTCTGGAAGACCCAGCCATATGTGACCCTAATCATGAGGCACCTCCAGCTCCCTGCATAGCTGTGTATGTTTGCATGAAGTGTTTTGTTTTTAAGTGTGTGTGTGTATGCGCGCACATGCGTGCACCATACGCATGCAAGAACATGTGGAGGTCAGAAGAGAGTTGGATCCCCTAGAACTGGAGTTAAAAGGTTATTGTGAGCCGGGTGGTGGTGGCACATGCCTTTAATCCCAGCACTTGGGAGGCAAAGGCAGGTGGATCTCTGCGAGTTCGAGGCTGGGCTGGTCTACAGAGTGAGTGCCAGGACAGTCTCCAAAGCTACATAGAGAAACCCTGTCTCGAAAAACAAAACAAAAAAGAACCAAAAACAAGAAACCCAAAAAATGTTATTGTGAACTTCCAAGTAGATGTTAGGAACCAAACCTGGGCATTCTCCAAGACTGTAAGAGTTCTTATCCATCTCTCCAGCCTTGAGTGTTGTTTTGGTCCTTTGTTCATTTGAATCCACAGCTGAGATATCAAATCCAGGGCCTGGAAGATGCGAGATAGACGCTACCACTGAGCTGCATCTCCAGCCTTATGCTTCAGGTTTCAAACTTAGCAAGAGATTTGCTCTTCTGCTGCAGGAAAACATGCACACTGCCTAAGAGAGCTCCACAAAGAACAGGTGCTGGTTCCCTGTATCACTGTCCCTCCTGACCCTCCAGCCCTGGGAGTGCTGTGGGCATAGAAGTAAACATTATTTTATGTAGCATGTGAGGCCCTTCACCTTGTTTTTGATGCAGTGGCATAGGCATGCTTCCCCTGGGTTCCTCCCCTCTGCCTGCCATGTTGCTGAACACGTTTTCAACGTTTTTACACAGCTTCTGAGTGTCAAATGGGGTTGTCATGGTTACACAGCAAGCACTTTTCTCCTCTGAGCTGTTTTGCTAGCCCCAAGAAATGTGTGCCTTTGCTTTTTCAAAACTTGGGTGGTGCTCCGGGTAAGTAAGTGTGCGTTATGTGAGTTCAGGTGTGTGTGAGGGCAGCTTCCCGGAACTGGTTCTCCCAATCAGCTCCTCGGGTTTGCTCACTGGCCCTCGGATCCAGAATTTGACCTGGCAGTCCTTAGCTGTTGGTAGGGTAGCCAGTGCAAACCCTCAGATTTCCTATCTAGCTCAAGTTTAACTGGCAGGTTTCCCAAAATTCTACTTTAGGGGAGGGTTTCAAGCATCAATCGAATCGGCTATAGACAGTTACTGCCCAGTCTGCTACTACCCAGAACTCAGAAAGTTGGAGATCAGACTGGGTGTGAACAGTCTGTTTTCAGGGACAGACTGGGTAAAAGGACTCAATTTATTAGGGGAAGGAATGGGGATTGTATGATCAGAATACGTTATGTGAAATTGACAAAGAATAAAAAAAAATCTTTTAAGAGTTAAACTGAAGCTGGGCAGAGTGGCACATTGTCTTTAAGCCCAGTTCTTGGGAGGCAGAAGCAGGCACGTCTCTGAATTTGAGGCCAGCCTGCTCTACAGAGGGAGTTCCAAGATGGCTAGGGCTACATTAGAGAAACCCTGTTCAAAAGCAATAACAGAACAAAAAGAGTTAAGCTAATGGGAGGACAGGGTTGCCATTGTATACAAACCAGACTCAAACCCATTTGCAGGATAGGTTCCAAATTTAGCAAAGCGTGAGAACTTCAAGCGTATTTCTAACTTAGAACTGATGGCTACTATTTGAAGAGCCCGGTGATATTATGCTGCAGTTTCAGAGAGGTAGCATTTACAGGGGAATCAAATGGTAGAAACATAGCCATGTTGAGCCTTGTGTAAGGTGATGACCAGGTACCTACCTACTGGACAAGGATTACAAAACAAGTTTTCAGGCTTGGTGCCACTGCCATAGAGAGCTGCCTAACTCTTTGTTGTAGGGGTTCACATGCATTGTAAGATGTTTTGCAGCACAAAAACTCGTACGTCCCCACAGTGCCCCTAAAATATTTCCATTATCAATTGTACCCTGGGGAAAGTGAACTCCAGCAGTGTGATGGTGAGCCCTTTGCCCCCTCCCCTTCTCTGAAGGCCTGTATTAATCCTTCTATGTTGTCTGACAGAATCTTTAGGTGTTTGTGGCTAAACCTGAACGGTTTGTTTTATTGAGTATATGAATGGTGTGTGTGTGTGTGTGTGTGTGTGTCCATCTGTGTCCGTGCCCCTTACCTTATGTATGGAGGTCAGGTGGTAACCTTGTGAGTTAGTTCTCTCCTGTCCTTACGTGGGTTTTAAAGCCTGGACTGAGGTTGCCAGGCTTGTGTAGTAAATGCCTTAAACCCTAGCCGTCTTACCAGCCTCAAGTTTCAGGTTTTATACTGGGGCAGGAACTTGGTACAGCAAGCTTTACAGCTTCTGCCTGTGCTGGTGTTTTACCAAACACTTAGGATGGGGCTGAAGAAGCTTCCAGCTGCTGGCCCAAGAAGGGAGAGCTCAGTACAGTTCTTTTCGTGGAGGTCATGCTTAATAGAAGGTCTCCTAAAACTGTCCTGACTTTCAATTGGAAATAAATCCACTAACACTCACTTTGTCCTACTCTGGGAAAGACTCGGGTGTTTTATCAGCCAGAGAGGCTCCTTCAGCTTAGTGCTCTAACTGCCGGTCCTCTGCCTGGAATAACTGGAGCACTGAGCTGTTTTGTTCAAGTCTCAAGTTCCCCTTCACCCTGCGTACTCCCTCCTCCCAGAAGCAGCATCCTGTCTGTAGCTCAGCCCACTGCCTTTTCAGAGCCTGCATTCGTAGAGTGTGACTGGCTTAACTACCACCAAGAGGCCCCTCTGTCAGGACCCCCCAAAGCACTTTGACCTAGTTACATAAACACAGGCTGACATTTTGTCTTAAACTGCTTGAGTCACATGACTGGAACCCATAGGAATTAAGGCAAATGAGGCCCAATATGTGTGTGTTAAATGAAAGCAACACAAAAAACTCACACCAGGAAAACATGCTTAGTTCCCCTTTCTAGCCTTTCTTCCACGACCTGTTTACTGAAGTGTGTGGCTCAGTCACCTTAACTGCATTCCGCTGGCACCAGCTCGATCAAGAGTTGTTAGGACAGCACTTAGCCCTCATGTGGCTCCCTAAGGGGCTGCTGACCTCAACACAGCCAGCCTCCCCTCCCCTCCCCTCCTCCCTTCCCTTCCCGCACAAATTGTGTGCAGAACAAAGGCTTCCCCTTTCTTATCCTCTGCTGGCAGATGCTGCCCTATGGCAGGAAGCTAGGGAGCATTTCACACAGCTGATAAAGTGCAGGAAGCGAGCAGCGTCTGTGCCTGCCATTCGCGCACTCTGACCCTAACATGCATACCCCTTCTCATTCTGACGTCTGAGAGTGAGCTTAGCTATTCACACTCACACCACTGCTCCAGTTCTGGCCAGATTCCCTATGCCCCCCTCCCCCAGATCAGTAAGCTTTCCCAATGCGTTACCTAACGCTCACATCATCACTGTTCAAAAGAAGAGGGAAGGTGGACTGGGGTGCAGCGCAGTTGGTGGTGCTTGCCTAGCTTGCACGAAACCTTGGATTTGGTCCCCAGAACTGCATAAAGCAGTGTAATGGTGTGTACAAAAGTTCAAGGTCATATTCAGCTAGAAAGCAGGTTAGAGGTCAGTCTGAGCTACACGAGACCCTGTTGGGGTAGGGAAGGAGGCACTATGAACTGTATAATCCTGTCTGAGCACATTTCCGTATCTTTTTATGACTTGACCATTAGTTTTAAAGGATGTCCTTGGGAAGATCGCAAAGCAGTCTGGTGAGCTGGAGGGCCACGCAGATCACCTTTACGACTCTATCTTAGCCTCTCTGGACATGCTGGCTGGCTGCACCCTCATCCCTGACAGTAGGCCAGCAGCAGCTACTAAAGAACGCCCACGTGAAGGACTTTAACTGAGTAAGTAGGAAAGCCTAAGAAGAGAACCTGCTGCCCGGTGACTGCTCACTAGGACACAGGGCTGCGCTAGTAAACATCACTTCTTAAATGCTGGGGTGGGGTGATTAATAGTCATTGCAAACAAGTGTAGTGCTGAAGGAATCACTGCCCTTGGCGGGATCATGGGTCTTCCTGTGGTGGAACTCACTTTGGGTCCGTGGATTCTTGTGCTTGCTGAGGAACTCCCCACATTCCCATTTGTGTGTTCCTTTACCACTGTTCACCCTCCAGCAGTCACTCTTGACAGTGCTCTTTCCCTCGAGTACACTTCTCCACTTTGGGGCTGGGGATCTTCTCACCCAGCTCAGTTAGCCCTTGGCTCCAAGCAAATTTGATGACTCAAACATCTACAAAATCCAGTAACTGCCAGCTCTTTACCCTACTCCCTTCCTATGAAGGATCTTTGCAAATCTCTCATACCACATCCTCCCCAAAGACTAGGGATGGCATATCCTATACTTAAAAAATACTACTTGTTAAGTACAACTTTCATCTTCCCTCTTAGAAAGCCAAACTGGGAAAGAATGACAGGAAAGAGAGGCCGGTCCTAGAACCTCTGCTACCTAGCACTTTATTCTACTGTACTTCTAGAACTTCCCCTTTAAAAAAATGTCAATGAAGATGTATCAGTGAGCACATGCTGGAAACATGTAAAAAGCAGACTCCAGTGGGGGGCCGGGGACAGACCTGTAATCTCAGCAAGAAAATTCAAAGATAGAAGCCAGCCTGGGCTACATACCAAGACGTCTTTAAAAAATAACAAGAGTAAATGGGGGCTCGTGTCTGCATCAGAGCAATGTGGGCAGATGTGGCAGCGTTGACGTTTCTTCGTGACAGCACGCCTGTAACCCTTGATGCTTTCTCTTCCAGGTGTCATCCTAGCAGAGATGGAGTCCTCGTCATCTGAGTTGACTCAGAAAGAGCCATTTGACAGTTAAGGCTGGGAGCCTGCCCCCTGCTGCTTTGAGGAGCCTGAGCCATCTCTGAAGGGCTCTTGGCTTGCTTTTCTCATCAGCGAGTCCCTCCAGACAGGCTTTTCCTTTTGGTGCTTCTCTAACAACAATATGTGGCTTTACAATTTTGATAAAATACTAGGATTTCTAAGATACTGGGATTATAGAATACCAGGGTCTCATGTTCCCCTTCTGTTTAAAAACCAGCAGATAAAACATTGAGGCCATTTACAGGAAGCTGTTCAAGATGGTTCCAAGTACTTGGGATTTTCAGGTGCACAGGGGCTCTAGAATGAAGGGGTTAGTGGCCAAAACTGTGGATCTTTTCACGAGGTTGAGACTTGAGTTTTGTAAGCTCTGAAGATTCTCAGATAGCAGACCTGTTAGCCCTTAGTCTGCCACAGGAGAACAAGGCAGTAGACAACATGGCTGAGGTGCCATCTTTAGTGGTCGGTCTCCACCTTCTTCCTTACCTTTTATGATCAGGGAGCTGGAGGCCTGTGTCGTGCTTCTGAAAGGGGACGGAGCCAAGACTCAAGTGTTTGCTTACCTCTGGGCACTCTTTCCCCTGGAAGACTAGTCAAAGGAAGGGGTGGGCACAGCCACACAGTCTGGTCCTTACAGAAACTAAAGCAGTCTGTGCGGATGAAAAAAGGGACATTCTTTTTTCATGGGAGTCGGGAAGAAAAGAGAAAAATACATGGGTCAGTTGTTCAGAGTATCAGTTACAGCTTTTGAAGCAAAGTGATTGTATCAGAGATGGGGATTTCAGCTTAAACAACAACACGCTTTACAAGATTAGTTGCTTAGACAAACATGGTGGTACACTTTAATCCTAGCACCTGAGAGGATTTTTTTTTGAGTTTGAGGCCAACCTGGTCTGTATTAAGAGTTCCAGGCTAGCCAGGGATATAGAATGAGAAAAAAATTAGCTCCTTGGTAAGCTATACATAAAGTAAAGTATTTTCACATGCCTGCTGCTACACAATATGGCATACCATAATGTTTATTGGTGTGATCCGTATTAAACCTTTGAGTCTTCCATCTCTAAGTCAAGCTTGTTTCTTACACTGTACATGGTAAACAATGTGCTTTCACTTTTGTCTCTTGCTGTGCTTTAAATTGCCCTCCCATCAATGTTAGATCAACCCTCAAAAATTAAGCCCATTTGACAGGCATGAAAATCATAAAAGCATAGAAACTGAAGATGGCAGAACCTTAGAGAAAAGAGCTATCCAGCGGCACCAACTGAATGGTCTCTTAATATGTAATTACAACCAGCTTCAACTGACAGTGTCTATTTTGGAATATACTGTTTCCCAACAAAGTACTACTCGCGGAAGACGTCCATGCTTTTGCTTTTGTTCATCCTCTTTGTAACAAAAAGAAACATTTTTGTAACTAAAGAGTATAAACTGTCACCTTGGCTGTGAATGCCACTTAGAAATGGCAACACAAATGTTAATTATATCTTCTGCTGTGTGTTAAGAACTTTGAGCTGAAATGTCTTCAGCCTGGTATGATGCCACTTTTCCCTGTGCAGATGTGACCAGGGTAGATTCACACGGACATGTTAAAATGTATACATGGTTCCTTAAAGTTCATTTGAGTTCACAATAAAGTAACATCTCAGCCATGTCATGTGGGTCTACAGGTAAGCTCTAGCCTAAAACAAAGAGACTTCAAAGATAGGGCTGTTCTGAAACTTAAATGGAACCCAGAAGAGGAGTGGTGGTGTAAGATATGCTGATAGCCAAAAATGTGCTTGAGGGAACATCTACCCATGTAAGCACAGGAAGTTAGCATGAGCCCAGGGCACTGGTCAGTAAGGATTCCCAATGATGACCACTGAGCAGAATGTTCTTCATATGATTCAGGTTACTGTGTACTTTTTATTTTTAATGTGGTTATTTCTTTATTATGTGAAAAATTAGAGCCCCCAATAGTCTTGAAATGTTTATACTTGAAAAATGGGTTATGTTTTTCCCCCAAAACTGCATTTATTGGCACACAGATAAAAGCAAATAGTGAATTGAAGTATGCTGAAATGGTGTTGTATGCCCTCTAATCTTGCAGCCAGTAGAGAAAGAACACTAGAATTGTACAAAGTCTGTAAATGTTTATATTATAAATAAATGTTTTCTGCTAACAAAGAATAAGCCAACAGTTTGAACAATTTTTGTTGTAAAATTAAAGTGCATGGCATCACTTTGTCTTATATTGTTCTTGTATCATTTAGTTATTATAGAAAAACTTTGAACTTTCTCCCTTTGTATTGACAAGGAAAAAACCCAACAGTGACTGTATTGACCCATAAATTACGGGTGAATTCAGGAATTCCCAGTTGCCTTATCTTATATAAGGATGAACAGACCCAACAAGCACATCTATAATACAAAGTAAACTATGATTTTATTGTGAAATTCTCATAGATGGAAAATTAAATTGAATAGTCTGTCCATTTTCATTTTACAATAATCTTACCACTTATTTTTGTACCATGTATTTCAATCGTCTGTTTAGTGAAAAATAAAGAAACCTGTAATTTTTGGCTTACTTTTAGTTTAATATTTTATCATTAAAGAACCCATAATAAAATGTGTTGTCAGCAGCAACATCCTAAGCCCCCAATTAAAGAATGTTTGGCTGCTGCTTAAACCAAAAGAACCGATCTCTGACCTGTCACCTTAAATGCTAGTGTCCCAAAGAGATTTATTAGTTTCCCACAGTGAGACAAAAGCAAAGTCTAGGACCTTGAAAGTCCCAGTTAACAAAACTTTCACACATGCAAAAATTTCACCGAAATAAATATATTATTTCTCTCATCATTCCCATCTATCATTCATGTTTTCGGTTAATTTGGGGGGGGATATAATTTCTACAGTTAGGGGAATCAACATTTCCTGCTTTCTATTCTAATGCTTAACCTCTCCTCCAACATGAGTTATATAATTGGAAAGAATAAAAGGTTGACAACTGGAAGGGGAGGCAGGAGGATCAGGAGTTCAAGGCCATCCTTGGTTACAAGTGAATTTGAGGCCTCTTGAGCTACATGAGACACTGTCTCAAAAAACGTTGCAGTCTTGGTATGGTACATGCCTTTAATCCCACCATTTGGGAGGAAAAGGTAGGTAGATCTCTGAGGGGCTAGCCTGCTGTACACACTAAGTTACAGGCCAGCCAGGGTTACATAGTGAGACCCTGTCTCAAAAAAGAAAAGCAAAAAGAAAAAGCAGGCATGGTAGTGCATGCCTTTAATCCTAGCACTTGGAGGCAGAGACAGGTGGATCCCTGAGTTCGAGGCCAGTCTGGTCCACAGAGCAAGTCCCAGGACAGCCAGGACTACACAGAGAAACCCTGTCTCCAAAAGAAAAAAAAAATCCCCAAAAAAACGGGCTGTGGGTGAGGTGGGGCGGACTGGGGTGTGTGCGGCATCTGACAGCGCGTGAGGGAGCACCGGCACATGTTACAGATCACTGCCTAGGGAGCATGTGCTGCTTCCACCTCTACCGCAGATGGTGAACAAAGTCAAGTGGAGTCACTTCAGACAACCGTTTTAGAGCTGGAGATGAAGCGTTAGGAAGCATACATTCTAAACTTGTTCCATACAGTCTCAGCTCCTTGGACAAGTGAATCTGGTTCAGTCTACACAGCACAGAAGCTTCTCTGGGTTACTTAGCAGGTCTATTACTAGAAAGCAAATACTGGATGCTGTGCTATTAGATAGGTCTACAGTGCCCTTGTTGCACACACAAATTGGCTGTTGAGTATAATGCAAATCTCTATTTCCCTTTAACCATAAGAATTAAAACAATACTTATCACCATACAGTTTGATATTACTTCCAATAAGTACAATATTTATTAAACATATCTTCAGTTTTGTTACATAGTGTGCAACAAATTACAATATTCTGCAGCCACAAATTATATGCAGAGTATGAAGAAACTATTAATCAGATAGTGTAATCTTTCCATTTATAACTCTACAAGGAAGAACTAGCAAATCAGATCTTACATATAACGTCTCACTAAACTTTATGCATGGAAATTGACAGACACTGGTTGTGCTGTTTGATACAAAATGGCTGAACTTCATCTTCAGAAGACTAAACCCAACATCTAAACATGCCAATATAAACAAAACAAAATATATTCTAACCAACCACGGGAAACAATCTGATATCAGGAAAGCAACAAGGATTACACACATTATTTTATAAACCAGCACACAAAGGTTTAAAACAGTTCTGAAAATGAAGTTAGCTGTCTTGAGTCAAGGGAATAAAAAAAAAAGTCAGTATTGACCATTTACAATCTCTGACCTTGTGGAAACGGTAAGAATCTGTTGTAGTGCAGCTACATACAGTACAATTCAGGCAATTTTGTTTTTCACTTGGGTTCAGATTGCGAATTCATTGCTGTGAGAAAAGGACGGAGGCAAATTTTAGCAGCAACCTCCACCTGACTGCTTGACTGGAGTGCTCTGGATTTTAACATTGGACTTCTCTGCACCGCCAGCCGTTGCTCCAGGGCCCATTCGCTTTTTAATCTCAGCTGCCATCGTCATGAAAGACTGTTCTACATTCGTTGCATTCTTAGCACTGGTTTCCAAAAATGGAATTCCAAGGGAATCTGCAAATTCCTGAGAGAGTAATGAGGAACAATGAACACTGGGAAATCTTTCTAGCTTGCTTTGTTAATGCTCACTGAAATGGGAATGAAGGACAAATTCACTGGCTTCTAAAGGCTTAGCCACTGTATGACTCCTACCCCCATAATTAAAAGTCAATTTGAAAATCAAACCTCACCAGACGGTGGTGGCGCACGCCTTTACTCTAAGCACTCAGGAGGAAGAGGCAGGAGGATCTCTATGAGTTGCAGTCTGGTCTACAGTGAGTTCCAGGACAACCAGGGCTGTTACACAGAGAAACCCTGTCTAAAACAAACAAACAAACAAAAAACCCTCATGCATACCTTCGCTGTTGTGTAGTCTACTACTTTCTTTGTGGTCAGGTCACATTTGTTCCCTACCAACAACTTGTTGACATTTTCACTGGCATAGCGATCTATCTCCTGCAGCCACTGTTTAACATTATTGAAGGACTCCTAAAAAGACAAGAATGATGACAGTTTTGAAGGATCAACTGATAAAAGCTCGTGTGGCAACTCTAGCTATAATACAATGTAAGGAAAAGAAATGAACTAATATATTATAATGACAATGCTCATCTAATGAAGGATAAGGAGGACTGGCAGGCTTGAAGTGAAAATAGCTTATTTGGGAAGGGAAATAGTTTAATATTTAGTGACGGGCAAACCCAATTTTAAATTGAAATTTAAATATTAACAAAACCTAATTTCTGAAATTTAGCAGAATTCTGGCTTATGAGTTGGATACAGTGACAGCTTTAATCCCAGAACTAGGGAGGCAGAGGCAGGTGGATCTCTTGAGTTCTAGGACTGCCCAGTCTACAAAACCAGTTAGTTGCAGGTCAGTCAGGACTACCTTAAGTGAGATCCACTACGAGACAGTGCGTGGGTAGGGGGTAGAAAACCAGTAAAAACTTTTGGTGAGACTTTTTCCTTTTTGTTTCTCAAAAATATTTTACAGTAGGCCAGAGTGGTGGCACATGCCTTTGATACCCATGCTTGGAGGGCAGAGGCAGGCAGATCTCTGAGTTCAAGGTCAGCTTTGTCTAGGGAGTTCTAGGACAGCCAGGACTACTCAGAGAAACTCTGTCTCAAAAAACAATGGAAACATTTAACAGTAACATGTTCTGTTTGTTCTTTGAAACTCATCTGCTATGTGGTGCTTCCTAGGCTGGCCTCAGTCTTCTGAGTACCTGAGAGCCTATTTCAGTCTCCCAAGGAGCAAGAACCCAGGCACATGACATCATGTTAATGTAATATTTTCTTTTCCTGCTCACATTCACCCATCTTTTGCTTCTAAATGTCTTCAGTTATTTCCAAATTGCCCATAAGTCACAGAGAGTTGAGATTTAGTATTTGCTACATGAAAAATGAGTTTTAATTTTACTTTAATTTCTCAAACGGTAAAAATAATTTCTGATCAAAAGTATTCAAGGACGTTCTGTTGACATAGTAAGTTCCAGGCCAATCAGAACAACTACTGTGTTGAAAATCTTGCACACATACAATATTCTCCAGGAACTTACCTGATCTGTCACATCATACACAACTATGATGCCATGGGCTCCTCTGTAGTAACTGGAGGTGATTGTTCGAAATCTTTCCTGGCCTGCTGTGTCCCACTATTAGAAAACAATCAGAAAAGGCAAACAACTCCATTAAAACAGACTTGGAAAAGTACAAGAGGAAACTGGAGATTATTAGGATCTGATACAACAGTATTTAATGCTTACATTATTAAACGGTATTGCAAGTATCAAATGTATTAAAAACCAGAACAGAAGACAATGCCTACAATTTGGCTGGTGGTACTGATACCAAATTCTAAATTCTTTAAGAACAGAAGCTATGCTAGGCAGTTGGTAAAAATAAGAATCCAGAGTCACAGCCTACTCCTTCCTAGCTGCAGCCACTCTTCCCAAACCAGGTTGTCCCACCATGCCCTAGTGGGACAAGGAGGTCACTTCACCAAGTGAAAGACCTCAACGCCACAGCACTGACACCGCCTCAAGTCTTGGTATAGGAAAAGAAGATGACTTGCAGGGGTCATGCTGAGCATGCAGACAAGTCCTCCTGCTACTCAGCCACATTTGAGCGCAAAGGCTTTGGGAAGGTAGAGCTGCAAGCCACATTTTCCAGTACACCCAGGGTGTGAAACCTCTCCACACACAGGGCACACGCAGGCCTTAACCCCAGGCACCAGGGTCCCCCAGGAGTTTTAGGCCATCAAACCTGAACCACCTTTGGAAGCTCCCAAGCCCCCCAACACACACGCATAAAGAATAGAAAGACCAGTTGTCAGGTGTGGGAAAAGTGGTCTAAATATGACAGAGAATACTCCTCCATGAGAGTTTCTCACTGCTAATGTAGTTTATAATACCAGAAAGCAATGGAAAGATCTAATGTTAACCACCAGTCAGAATGACACACTTACCCACTTGAAGTAGGTACTATCTTAACTGAGCAAAAACAATGCAAGGAAGATGTTTCTAAACTCCTCTAAAATAAAACTCATGTTTTAAAGTGGGGAAGGGACCTGGATAGATGACTCAATGATTAAGAGCACATAATGGTCTTTCAGTGGACCTGAGTTCAATTCCTAGGTTCAAATGGTTCACAACTGCCTGTAACTCCAGTTTCAAGGGCATCCAGTGCCTCTGGGTTCTTCAGGCCCATGCATTTATACACACATAGATAGCAACAATAAAAACATGTTTTTAAGTGGGAAAAGACAGGCAAGAAAGCTTAGCAAAAGGTTTACAAACCTGACAACCTGAGATCAATCCTTGGATCACATCACAGAAGGAAAAAAATATCAAAAGTTGTCCTCTGAACAGGTGTGGCAATTCATGCCTATAATCCCAGCACCAGGGAGACAAAAGCAGGTGTAGCTCTGTGTTCGAGACTAGCCTTATCTACACCACAAATCCCAAGCTAGCAAAAGCAGTGAGAAAACCTCTTTCCTTTGTTTTTGTTTTTCGAGTAGGGGTTTCTCTGGGTAGCTTCGGAGTCTGTTCTGTAGACCAGGCTGTCCTGGAACTTACAGAGATCCGCCTGCCTCTGCCTCCAGAGTGCTGAGACCCTCTTTCAACAGAAGAAGTTGTCCTCTGATGTCTACAGATGTGCCATGGCATACAGGAGCCCCCCACCCCCTACACACGCGGAAAAATTGTGAAAATATTCAGCTACAGAGTACACATGTGGAAGCACACTCGTGCACACATGATAATAAGGTTTTTATTTGGATTTTTCTGTTTGTTTTTTGAGACAGGGTTTCTCTATATAGCTCTGGAACACATTTTGTAGACCAGGCTGGCTTGGAGATCCACCTGCCTTTGCCTCCCAAGTTTTGGGATTAAAGGTGTGTGACACCATTGCCCAGCTATAATCACAAATTTTGTAGAAGATCTGGCCATCACCACTAAACATAAAAAGTCAAAGGAAAAGACTTACAGCACCTGGAAGGAACAAATGAAGCTCAGCAAGTTGAAATACAATGGCTTTAAAAGCACAATTTTGCATTTAAAAATTTAGAACATTGAGAGGCGGTGGTGGCGCACGCCTTTAATCCCAGCACTCGGGAGGCAGAGGCAGGCGGATCTCTGTGAGTTCGAGGCCGGGCTGGACCGACAGCCTCCAAAACAATACAGAGAAACCCTGTCTCGTAAAACCAAAAAAAAAAAAAAAAAAAAAAAAAAAGAACATCAATTCACAGAAGTCTCTCTCTCATTCACATTCACTCACACGCACGCACGCACGCACAAACACACATCCATGCATGCACATGTGTACACCTTTTCTGTGTGTGTGTATGGTCTGTGCATGTGGAGATCTGAGGCTAAAGTAAAGTCTTCTGGATTACTATTCACCTTATTATTGAGGCAAGATCTCTCAGTTGAACCCAGAGCTCACTGATGTGACCCAGCGCCTCTCTGCCTTCCATGGCCTGGAATTCATTAGAGGTTCGTCTCCTACCAGGCATTTTGATGGGTGAATTCTGGTTCTCACATTTACAAGTACTTTATCTTCTGAACCATCTCCATGCCCAAAATTAAAGACAAGCAAACCTCAATCTCAGTATACACACTGCTAGGTAATGTGGTTACGGCAACAGCAAATGTGAACTCCTGCTTTGCTTTTGTATTCTTCGGTGGATTAACAATAAGCACCAGTTCCTCAAGTGGAGAAATTTCATTTTACTTTTATGTGTATGAGTGTTCTGCCTGCACAAATGCCTGAGCTACATGCATGCTTGCTGGCCACAGAGGCAGGGCGGTGGCACAGGCACTCACGGGGCTGAAATTACAGAGCTGTGTGAGGCATGGGAGATGGGAATCGAGTCCCCAGCCTCTTAACCACTGCACTGAGCTGTCTCCCACACGCAAAGGGAGAGAACATCTAAGAAATTAATTCCAAAGTTTATCTCACACCCTGTATCATACTTTATTTTGGGAATCCCATTTTAGAAAATGCACTTTAAAATGCAGGAGTAACCCAAATTCAAAAGGTTCTAAAACCAACTCCAAAAAGGAACAACCGACTGAGCAGGAAGAAGGGTGCGGTCACATCCATCTGAAGGCGGATGCCATGGGAAGGGATTACTCTGATTCACACAGCTTCACAATGCAGAGGAGTTCCAGAGAGGTTAAGGGATACCGACTCCAGTGCAGTATAAAGAATGGACAGCCAGAGCCACTGTAAATAGAAGCAGCTGCTTTTGAAACTGGTGAATTCCCCAAATACGTTTACATAACAGCATCAGACGTGGAAAGAAAATTCCTATTGAAAATGAAAGGCCAACCAAGTGCAATTTGCAAGATCCTTTCCAGACAAAGGAAGTGACAAAATTAAAATGTTTCAAACATCTAAATCCAGTAGAGAATAATCACCAGGCTGCAGGCTTGAGTGATCTTTTCACAACAGTGTTTACTTTTGCCTGCACAGGACACATCACAGAACCCAATGATACCCCATCTCCAAGGTCACAAAGGGAAACACACTCAGCAGGAGCTATGTGACCCTCAAACCCGCAGAAACGAGTAAACCAGGATTCAGTGCTGGGGCTGAAGCTGACATCCTTGTTATTCTTCTGAGTGAACATCAAAAGGCTGAGTTTGTTACAGGTGTATGTATCTGTTCATGTTTAGATACTGTGTTTATATATGTAAAATATAACATACAATTAAATACAGATTATAGTCACCTATAATAGCCAAAACCTACAGTTACGTTAGATTTTCTAGATGCACAGAGCTATATTTCAAATGGAAGATATTCTTCAAACCTTTCAAAGACCTACAGAAAATGGCATTTAAAATCATTTAGGATTAGTCGGGCATTGGTGGCGCACGCCTTTAATCCCAGCACTTGGGAGGCAGAGACAGGCGGATCTCTGTGAGTTCGAGGCCAGCCTGGTCTACAGAGTGAGTTCCAGGACAGCCTCCAAAACAATACAGAGAAACCCTGTCTCGAAAAACCAAAAAAAAAAAAAAAAAAAAAAAAAAATCATTTAGGATTTTCTTGACAATGAGACACAACTGCTCCTCGCAACACCAATTACGTCAGAGAAGAAAATGAGCATCGAAGAAACTCATTATGGAGTTTGCTTTCAAAATGGCAAGATTAGCCATTTGCACAAGAAGCTGCTCTTGCCTGGACTGTTTGACTGTATGCTGTATAAACTGGACATGAAGGACCCACAGGAAAGTGACTGCTGAACTTGCCAAAACAAGATGGAACCGTCCTGCAGGCTTCCTGCTTCAAGGAAGAGTCGGCCAGACATTCTGCAGGACACAGAGAAAAATGACAAATTGCCAATACAGGCAAACAGTTTAAAATTTCTCTCCTTGCTGAGAAGTCTGCCAGACACACTGTAGCCTATGGGCTGAAGATGGACACGTTACAGAGAAACTTTGGGTGACTGTCCAGGCAGCGAGATGACTGTCAATTCTATATATTATCCTTTTACATATTATCCTTCTGGGGTCTTTGATAGAGTTGAAGACACACAGTTATAGTTATGGTTTACTTAATTATGATAAAAGATAAGTTACATATAAAACCTTAGACTCACAAAGGTAGGATAGATGATAGAATATTTTCTTTAAATTTTGCCAAATGTTAACAGACTAATTATTAACTACAGTTCTTACTTGATAACTGTTTTGTTATATATAATTTTACTATGTTAAAGTTAAAAACCTTGCCAGGTGATGATAGTGCACACCATTAATCCCAGCACTTGGGAGGCAGAGGCAGGTTGATCTCTGTGAATTCGAGTCCAGCTTGATCTTCAAAGAGAGTTCCAGGGCAGTCTACAAACCTACAAAGAAACCCTGTCTCAAAAAAAAAAAAAAGTTGAAAACGTTTCTTTTTTATTTAGACAGAAAACAGGAGATGATAGGAGATTTTCTTCTTATTGGTTGATGAATAAAACACTGATTGGGCCGGGCATTGGTGGCGCATGCCTTTAATCCCAGCACTCGGGAGGCAGAGGCAGGCGGATCTCTGTGAGTTCGAGACCAGTCTGGTCTACAGAGTGAGTTCCAGGACAGCCTCCAAACAACACAGAGAAACCCTGTCTCAAAAACAAAAAAAACAAAAAACAAAAAAACAAACAAACAAAAAAACCCAAAAACAAAAACACTGATTGGCCAGAAGTCAGACAGGAAGTATAGAGGGAGCTAGGAGATGAGGAGAATGCTGGGGAAAGACTCAGAGAAAGGCTGCAAGGAGACGTCATGTAGTTACAGGAAAAGATAGACATGCCGGGCATTCTCTGGTAAGGCCATGTAGAATACATAGTTATGGGTTAATGATTAAGAGAGGGCTAGCCAGTAAGAACCCTGAGTCATCGGCCAACAGTTTGTAATTATTATAAGTCTTTTATCTTTATTTGGGGCTAGATGGGACCAGACAGAAAGGAAACTCTGTCAACAACCTGTAAGCCCAGCACCTGGGAGGCAGAAGCAGGTGGATCTTTGAGTTCAAGGCCAGACTGGTCTATAGAATGAGTTCCAGGACAGCCAGGGATACATACTGAAATCCTGCCTCAAAAAAAAATAAAATAAAATAAAATGGAGGGAGGGAGGGAAGGTGGGAGGGAGACAGGGAGGGAGGAGAAAAAAAAATCACCAGAATCAAAATAGTAATTTTGACTTGATTTTCAGGACTTTAGCTCAGAGCAACACCAATTCCATGAAAAAAAAAATTAATGACTAGTCTTTAGTGTTATTTCATTCTAAGCCTCCTGTACAACATACTGATTTTTAAAAACTAAAACCCAATTTAAAAACTATTTACTTTCTCTCCCCCTTACAAGTACGCTCTCTATGTATGTATGTGTATGTATGTGCGTGCGTGCGTGCGTGCGTGCGTGTGTGTGTGTGTTGACACTGAGGACACACTTGTCATGGCACTTGCATGGAGGTCAGAGAAAACTTGCAGGAGTTAGTACTCTCCTACCACCACAAGGGTCCTGGTGATCGGATTCAGGTCATCAGGCTTGATTGATATTAAGCACCTTTATCTACTGAGCTATCTTGCTTACCCCATGATTTTTTTTCTTTTTTAAGATCACACAAAAGCTGGGCATTGGTGGCACATGTTGGGAGGCAGAGACAGGCAGATCTCTGTGTGTTCGAGGTCAGACTGGTCTACAAAGGGTCCAGGACAGGTTCTAAAGCTATAGAGAAACCCTGTCTTGAAAAACCAAAACCAAAAAAAAACCAAACAAACAAACAAAAAACCCACAGATAAGCTGACAGTGCCCAGACCCATACTAAAGAGATAAACATTTGAGGTGGGGGTGAAGAATGGATAAGGTAAATAAGATAACACAAAGACACAGGTCAAAGATGGAGAGTGAGAAATCACTTGGTTCTGCCAGTAACTTTAGGCAAATCATCAATTCTCAGCACCCATTTTCTGAGATTAAAACAAAAATACTAGAAAAACTTAAGTTTCTTTCCAATAAAATTCTGTCTTTCTACAGAATTAAAATATGCGGTCTTAAAGGAGAACTACCCAGAGAACCAAGTGAATAGCTGTCTTTATTTAATGCATGTGTGAAGAGCCTATCCTAGCACTCAGCATAGTAAGACAGACAAGATGCCAAGTAAGTAGCCACTGTGAAGCAAGGAAACTCAAACATCTGACTTCAACTGGAGAAGGAGACCAGGTCCAAGGCTGACAATATGAGTATTTCTGCTTCACAAGTAAAATTTCAACAAGGACGACCTGGAACATAGCTCCATACAAACAGTACAGACTTAGCATATGGGAGACCTTGGGTTCAATCCTCAACATAGGTGACAAATAAGAGGAAGGAGGAGGGGGCTCTGAGAGATGGCTCAGAGGTTAAGAGCACTGGCTACTCTTCCATAGCACCCACATGGCAGCTCACAACTGTTCTGGGGGATCTGACACGCTCACAGACACATATGTAGGCAAAACACCAACACACATAAAATAAAAATAACTTTAAAAAAGAGGAAGAAGGTAGGCATTTCACTGGGAAAAGTGAACCTAGGAAATGCCTCCTTGTCTAACAACTATCATCAACGCATGACTCTTACACTCGACTCTGTTAGCATACCAGATACACATAAATGCACCACGCACTGAACACTTACTATCTGAAGCTTGATCGTCTTCCCGTCTAACTCTATAGTTCGGATCTTGAAATCCACACCAATTGTGCTGATGTAGCTTTCCGTGTACGTGTCATCCTGAGGGGAGAGTTAACGAAGTCAATGGTCAACAGAGAAAGTGTTTCAAGTTTACTTTCGCTATAGGCAAAGTTTATAAACCAAGTTTTTAACAACTGATCCATCTTGCTTTGTGTTCTAAAGCAAAAAAGTTTCTTTTTTCCTTGGGCTATTTTTCAAGTATCCTTTATTTTTTTTATACATCTCTTGGTAAATTCTTTACATACGTCAGGAAGATTGTGTAACTGTCAGAGCTCCCACCCAGACACATGAGTTTTTCTAACCACCAATCAGTTACACTCCTGGTCCTGGTCCTCAAACACCCAATCCACTACCACCAAACAATGCTCACTTCATTTTCCTCTTAGGGGTGTATTCCAAAGTCTGTGTTACACGCTGCTTGAAGGGGTTTTGTTTTTGTGTTTTGGTTGTTTGTTTGTTTGTCTGAGACAGGGTTTCTCTGTATTGTTTTGGAAACTACCCAATTCTTTCATAAATAAAATATATCAGTGGGATTTTATTCAGCTGCAAAAAAAGAATGTAATAAAATAAAGAAGTAGGGCTAGTGAAATGAGTCAGTAGGTAAAAATCCCTGTACCAAGCTTGATGACCTGAGTTTGATCCCCAGGACCAACATAGAAGGAAAAGCTGCCTGTCAGACTGTCCTATGACCTCTACATGCACATACTGTGGCATGCACATGTCCACACACATACATACACACAGTAAATTTAAAAAATTGCTTTTTGAGACAGTCTCACTATGTTTGCTGAACTCACTGATGTAGACCAGGCTGGCCTTGAATTTACATAGATCTGCCTACCCCTGCCTCAAGAGTACTGGGATTAAAAGTGTGTGCTGCCATGCCCAACCTCATAAAGTAATTAAAAAAAAAAAAAAGCAAAACAAGTTTTGATCTGAGTAAGATGGGGCCTGCCTGTAATCCCAGCATTCCAAAGTCTGAAATAGAAGGCTCATGTTTGAGGCCAGCCTGAGCTACATAGCGAGACCCTGTCTAAAAGAAAAGAATTAAGTGTTCATACTTGCTCCATTGTGGATGAGCATTGAAAACATAAGTGAGAGAGGCCACTTGTAATGAGTTTATATCTATGAACTGTTCCCCTACACAATGCTCCAGGGAGAGTAACTAGATTGATGGTTGCTGTGATCTGAAGGAGAAAAGGCAGTAGTAACTGTACAGAGTCCCTTTGGGGTATAAAACATTCTGGAATGAAGTAGTGGTGACAGTTGTATGGCCTTGTATGTTTACTAGAAAACACTGTGTTGCACACTGAAAGAGGGATTCTTATGTGTATTTATGTCAATTAAAAACTTTGCCGGGCGTTGGTGGCGCACGCCTTTAATCCCAGCACTCGGGAGGCAGAGGCAGGCGGATCGCTGTGAGTTCGAGACCAGCCTGGACTACCAAGCGAGTTCCAGGACAGTCTCCAAAGCCACAGAGAAACCCTGTCTCGAAGAAAAAAAAAAAAAAAAAAAAGATGGCTCAGAGAATCAAAGTGCCTGCCACCAAGTGACAGAATCCAGCCCCTGGGACCCCATGGTGGAAGGAGGAACAAGTCCCGCACTTTGTCCCCTGCCCTGCACACCTGCCGCTGTGCTTGAGTGCACGGCCACCGCACATATACAAACACACAGAAACAAGTTCCTGTTTTAAAAGAAGCTTTCATGGGAAAAAGAAAAAAAAAAAACCCACAGGAAGGAATGGAGACTAACCACCCCTGAACTGCAAAGCCACATCTGGGAAGCCCTCTGCCAAAAATGTGGACTTCAGTTTAGTGAGGGGAATCTAACAGCAGCACTGACAAAATCAACTTTCTATGACATAAACTGCTACCCCAAAAGTGACTTGTGAAATGAGGAACTAGAGGGTAAAGATCTTTTTCAAATTTCAACTAACTTAAAGAAAAAAACAAAACAAGACTAGAGAACCAGGTTGGCACAGCTGCAGAGCTGAGTCTGAGCTACAGCGTGCACATGTGACCATCAGCACGTAACAGCTCGCACTCTGGCTGCTGCTGTTTCCCTGCTCTGTTCAATGTGACTTGAATGTTTCTTGTCACTGTCAATAAGGCCAAGTAGCCCACATTACCTCTCCACCTCTGTAGAATCTACCAGAACTCTACAAAGATTAACCCTACCTTTATCATCCCATTTCATTGTTCCACTGAATTTCTTTTTCTCTTTTCTTTCTTTTTTCTAATTTCTTTGGTCTGACTGATCCCCCCCCCCCTTTCACAAGTATGCACTACTACACCCAGCTTCCCATGGATTTCCTTTAAAAACAACATTTATTTAACAATCCCAGATACCACTGGGGGTGGGGCTTGGGAGCCCATAGATACATAAATTCTGAAAGAGTTAACTCATTCTACATAAAATTGTCTGAGTTTTGTCTAACTAGAAAACACACTGTACTAATTGTACAACTAAGTGAATCGTTGACTGTAAAAACAACAACAACAAAAAAAGGTATTTCGATTTCAACTTACTGCAAACCTAAGGAGGAGGCAAGACTTTCCAACCCCAGAATCGCCAATCAGAAGTAACTTGAATAAATAATCACTGCAAAGAGAGAAGGAAAATCACATTAGTAAAAAGCATGTTGTACTGTTAAGTTCTACAAGAAACAGCTAACAGCAAACAGCGTGTTAGGAAGATCACAGCTCCTGAAAAGGCCTCTGTGTAGCTCAGCAGAGCCAAAACTGGATCCAGCAGCAGCCCTTGGATGCATAGTGGGACATGTGAACGTCCCACTCCAGTAAGGCAGGCAGGGCCAACCAAGAGTTCTCAGGCGTGAGCTTCCTCTTCCATGGGGAGAGTGGCAGCAAACATGATTCTCCTACTGAGGGCTGAGGAGACTTATGCTAATTAAATCCCAGTTCTCTACCCTATGAGACTAGACCAGGTTATGCTCCAGCCAGTGAAATCAGCCTATCCTGGTTTAGTGGCCCATGTCTGTAACCTCAGCAAGCTCTGGAGAGGTGGAGGTGGGAAAATCTTGAGTTCAAAGCAAGACTCAGATACATGATAGGGCCAACTTGAAATACACGAGGTTCTCTCTCAATAACAGCAAAAGTCTCTCCTTCAAATTCAAAGACCAAGTTATTTACTGTGCAGAGCAATCCTACAGGGAAATAATTTCTATGCTCCTTTCCTAGAGTCTAGGTCTAACACCCCCTTTCTAAAAAACAATAAAAGATAGTGGGCTGGAAAGATGGCTCAAAGGTGAAGAGCACTGGCTTCTCAGGCAGAGGACCCAGGTTCGATTCCCAACACTCCCAAGAGGCTCACAACCATCTGGACTCCATTCGGTCCCAGGAGATCTGATGCCCTCTACTGGCCTCTCAGGGCACTGAATCACATGGTACATAGGCATCTCAAAATGTTGCTGGATCTCAGTTCCTCTTCCTGATGTGGTCACACTGAATAAATGTCTCCCTTTGTGCTTTTGCTATTAATTTGGTTCTTTTAACTGGCTTACCAAAGATGAATGGCTGAACCTGGCTTGTTGGGTCTACCCAGGGCAGATTCTGACTCTGATTCCAGCAACAACACTGCTAGGACTAACTCAAAACCCATCACTAAAAGATGTCTTCAACGACCTGAAGACGGCAGATTGCCTGTCCACTGTCTCCTAAAGGACTCTCTCAGTCCTCCTATTCTGACTATTTCCATACTCTAAGCACTTTCAGAAGAAGCAACCCCCAATCGAGATTTTACATATATTTTTAGAAGGTACAATTCATTTTTAGCTTGGTAATTTAATTCAAAAGCAAGTATCTACTAATCTATTAAAATTTTTATTATAGAAGGTATAATTTCAATGTAAGCAAGACATACAACTTTTAGAGAATTATCTTTGTGACTATTCATAATTTGTTACCTATCTATTTGCAGTGGTATGTATTACTTAAACAGTTTTTTTTATCAAATTAGCACTGTATACTAGTTATACAAATTAGCACTAAATGTATCTGAACAAAAGAATTAAAAAGATAAATCCAGATGGGCAGTGGTGGGGCACACCTTTTATCCCAGCACTCAGGAGGCAGAGGCAAGCAGATTTCTATGAATTTGAGGCCAGCCTGGTCTACAGAGTGAGCGCCAGGACAGCCAGGGCTACACAGAGAAACCCTGTCTGGAAAAGCCCCCCCCCCCCAAATCCCAACTGCTAGTCAGCATTAGAAGAGTCACAGAATGAAACAGTTTTTAAACAAATAAATCAGGACTGTGGGCATTATAGTTCAGTTGGTAGAGCATATGTCTCCTGTGTTCAAGCCCCAGCACAGCATACATAGTTGCACATGCTTATAATTCTTGCACTTGGAAGGTAGAGACAAGAAGATTTAAAAGAAAAAGAAAAAAACAGTCAACAGCTCAGGGCTGAGATGACTCTGTGGTTATGAGCACTAGTCGCTGTTGAGAGGACTGAAGGTGAGGGTCTACTGCATGCGCATGGTACACAGGCACACATGCAAACCAAACACCATATACATAAAAATGACTAAGAAATTGTTTCCATCAGTAAAGGAGGGCTGGTATGTATTGTCCAAGAATGGAGTACTTGCCTGGCACATGCCAGACGCTAAGTTTCATGTCCAAGCCTTTTACAAAAGAAAACGACAAACAAGCAAGTTGTTGAAGTTGAAATTTCAAATTTGAGATCTGTGAACAAGCACACCCTCCCCAAGCTGTGCTGAGTGCTGTGACCACAAAGGACTCAACTGGGCCACAAATAGCCCGAGCTATCACTGTCTTAAAGGTCAGGTACTCTGGCTTATTTCAGCACAATCGTAAGAATGGAACATGCAAAAACATTCCTGTGTTTTTACTATAACATCAAGAATTAAGAGTTGGACTGAAGAGACAACTCAGCAGTTAGGAGCACTGGCTGCTCTTCCAGAGAACCCAGGTTCAATTCCCAGCACCCACATGGCAGCTCACATCTGTCTGTAACTCCAGTTCCAGGGGATCTGACACCCTCACACAGACATACATGCAGGCAAAACACCAATGCACATAAAATAAAAATAAATTATTTTTTTAAAAAAATTAAGTCAACTTTTAAAGAAATTTAACATATTCTAAAGTTTTGCAAATGTTATTTTTGAGCATAGAGTTTCACGTAATTTAAAATCATTACAGGCCGGGCGTTGGTGGCGCACGCCTTTAATCCCAGCACTCGGGAGGCAGAGGCAGGTGGAGCTCTGTGAGTTCGAGGCCAGCCTGGTCTACAGAGTGAGTTCCAGGACAGCCTCCAAAACAATACAGAGAAACCCTGTCTCGAAAAACCAAAAAAAAAAAAAAAAAAAAAAAAAAAAAAAGATAAAATCATTACAGAAGCTAGGGCTGGTGGTACATGCCTATAACCCTGCTCTCTGGAGGCTGAGGTAGCAAGACTGTCATCAATTTAAGGCCAGCTTCAGTTACCTTGTAGACTCTGCTGTTTCAGGACAACAAAATAAAAAAACAATCAGCCAACCAACCAAAATTGTAGGTAAAATTAAAGAGCCTAGCTCCTGTGGGATCAGCTTTACTAGCAAAACAGTGGCAATGAAAATGTGTACTCATCTTTACTCTGGTTTAAAAAGAAGGGAAAAGGGGAGGAAGAAAACAAAAAACAAAAAACTCAAGAGAGTCAACGGTAAGTCTCTCTCAAAAGCAAAGCCAGAAAATTTGAGCCACAAAGTATATATAACCACATTTTGGATTATAACTCAAATAATAAATATATAAATTGTTCCATTCTGGTATAGATGGTTAGGTAAATTAGAAAAATAATTCTTTCTTATAGTATCTTCATGTACATATAGAAGAAAAACAGAAAATGTGTATCTCACCAAGTGAGGAAAAACTGCAGATGAAGTTAAAATTATAACTTAGAGAAAAATAAGCTCTCTGTGTGGTCTCAAAGTATTTATTGCACTGGTAGATTTTGTTGTTTGAGAGGAATGTCTAAGAAACAGGGTCTCGCCGGGCGGTGGTGGCGCTCGCCTTTAATCCCAGCACTCGGGAGGCAAAGGCAGGTGGATCTCTGTGAGTTCGAGGCCGGGCTGGACCGATAGCCTCCAACACAATACAGAGAAACCCTGTCTTGTAAAAACCAAAAAAAAAAAAAAAAAAAAAAAAAAAAAAGAAACAGGGTCTCATGTAGCCCAGGCTGGTCTCTTACTCACTGGGTAGTAAAGGCTGCCCAAGAACTTTTGATCACTCAGCCAAGTGTTGGGGTTACAGCCATGCACCAGACCTGGCATTACATTATGGTTTTAAAAACTTCACCCAGTAATTGTTTTAAGCCCATCTTGCACTGAGAGTTGGAGCTTAAACTTCCATCTTGCCCTGAGTATGGCTGAACATTAAGAATCTGGTGGTTAGTGTCTAATAACTTAGAAAAGGGGGAAAAGGTAAACCTCAGAAAGACACTAGCATTAAAAGACACCAGAATGGCCAGTTATAAATCCAGCAACAAGCAAAGAAGTGGTGGTGCACACCTTTGATCCCAGCACTCAGGAAGCAGAGGCAGGAAGGTCTGAGTTCAAGGCCAGCCTGGTCTACTGATAGAGTACTAGGACAGGCTCCAAAGTTACACAGAGAAACCAGTATGAGAGTAAAATATCATACTGAGTGTATATGCCTTCTGATACAAAGCAATGAATAGACCACGGGCTTCTGTGGTTCCTGTGGCGTTTTCCCCAAATCTATCACCCTAACCTAATAATGAATTAACTAGATGAATTACACATGTGCTTCTAACACTTGAGAGGCAGAGACAAAGAACAGTGTAAGTTAAAAGCAACCTGGTCAACAAAATTAGCTCTAGATCAGCAAGGGCTACACAGTAAGACACTGTCTCAAAAAAAAAAAGAGAGAGAGAGAGAGAGAGAGAGAGAGAGAGAGAGACAGAGAGAGAGAGAGAGAGAGAGAGAGAGAGAGAGAGAGAGAGAGAGAGAGAGAGAGAGAGAGAGAAGAAAAGGGAGGGAGCTGGAAGGTGGTGCAGCAGTTAAGAACATTGACTAGCTGGTCATTGGTGGCGCACGCCTTTAATCTCAAAAAAAAAAAAAAGAAAAACCAAAAAAAAAAAAAAAAAAAAAAAGAACATTTCAAATATATCCAAACCAGGATTGAGGATAGCTCAGTGGACAAAATGCTTTCCTAGCATGCATGAGGCCCTGGGTGTAACACCAGTACCACATAAACCCAGCCTAAAGGCACAGACCCATACTGTAATCCTAGCATGCACAAGGTGCAGAAAGGAGGCTATAAACTCAAGGACATACCCAGCTCCACAGTGAGCCTGAGGCCAGCCCTAGATACAAGAGACCACTTTGGGGGCTAGAAAGATGCTCAGGGATTTGAGTTTGGAGCTCAGCACACACATCAGGGGTTTCACAGCCACCTGACACTCCAGCCCCTGGGGGACCCCAGGCCTCAGTCCCCCATGAACTCTAGCATTCACACACAAACACCCACACAGACACACACATATGCACATAAACTAATAAATAAAATAGACTCAAGGGACTGCAGAGATAGCTCAGTGATTAAGAGCACAAGCTGCTCTT